TGGTCTGGCGATCTCTTACTGAGTAAGAAGTACAGACGTTTAACGTAAGCCAGGCTGCCGCTAAACCGCTCGACTACTCAAGGGATTCCTCTCGCTCTCTGCTAGGTTGTTCGATGGAGGATTTGTGGGTTTAATGCGCTTATATACAGCAATAACTAATTTGTTGGAGGTGAGAGAGAGGGCTTTTTCGTTGTGGGCACGGGCGTTGTCGGAGGCTGGCGCCAAGCGCCGACCAGAGGCCTCCCCTAAAGAGGCGGTCAGGTACTTTGGAGCTTGGTCTGTCTTTATGAGTGGCATATGCTGTTTATCTTGAGGCTTGGGGATAATTGCTACAGACTGATTGAGAATGGAGATTTGGGTGAGGCGGCTTTTCTGATTCACTGATGGGCTGGAGAATGCTATGCTCAATAGCTAAGCGCAGTCATATAGCATTTTCTCACCATAAAAGCAGAGAATAGCTTGTTTGCTTGCTAATACCAGTGTGAGGGATCTTCTCAGTAGGGACCGCGACTATGCACATGTTTGCATCTGTCTCTACTCATTAAGCCTTCCTACTTGTTGAACAAAGTCAATCTTTTGTCATGTCTCTATTATTCTACCGGGCTACATTCCATATGAAACTTCTATGGAATAAGACTTTTTCTAGGAGCTAAAACTTTTGGGAAACAAGACCTTAATGTAGAGGAGGAAAGAAGACATAGAAGCAGGCAGGAAAAACACTTCTAACCACTGTACTCCCACTTTACCCGTCGTCTTGTCTAGCCGATTTACTTTTTGAAAAGCAAGAGTAAGTAGGAGAAAGAACCTCGTCGTCGACGTATCTATCAGGCCACTGGCTGCACATAGCCAACTCATCCCTCCACCTTCGTCGCATCCCCCTCGAGAGATTGGTAGGCATTGTACCGCGGACACGTCACGCTCCAAAGTACCGTGCCCCCAACCAGCCAACTCATGGCCAGCACAAACCTCCTCACATTCTCCGGAAGCTCCGACCTCAGCAGCCGCTCTCTCTCATCCATGGCTTCACTCTCATACCGCATAGCCAGAGCCTTGATCTCCCGATGCGCTTCCTGCATGCCCACCCCACGGATCCTCACCAGCAACGTCGTGGCATTCATCAGATGTCCGACCCCCGTCTCCGCCAGCCTCCGCTCCTTCTCAAAGCTCAGGTAGTCGTTCGTCATGCACACGGAGCGCCCGCCCGCCAGGAGGAACGGCCAGACGGACGCCTCGTCCGCGTCGCTGATGTCCATGTCCATCGCGTACGGCAGCATGCGGCGCATGGGCGGGTATCCCACGTTTTGGAGGCGGTGCTCGAGAAAGGACTCGATGGACGTGAAGGAGGAGATGGTCACGTTGTCGCAGTTGCAGAGCCAGGTCGCCCAGGCGCGGAGCGCGAGCATGCCCCGGGCGTGGTCCACGGATAGGAAGCCCTGCACGACGTCGACGAAGCATCGCTCGAGGGGCGTGGCCGGGGGTAGGGAGCCCTCGCTGAGGATGATGTCTGCTAGTCGGAGGTTGATGGCGTGGGACTCGGAGCGTGGAGTGTGCTCTTGCTTGTCTGGTTGTTCGTCAGCTAGGTCTGACGGTTGTGGTTTAGACGAGTGAGGCTGCTGGCATACCGTCGAGCAGGAAGAAGAACGTGTACACCCATGTCAACCCCCGGATCCGGTCTGGTCGGGCCATTGGATAAGCCACCGCGCACCAGTCTCCCGTCACTTCGTCCTCGGTCCCGTGATGTTGCGCCACGAAGTCATCCTGCAGGTGCGTTTGCCACAAGGCTTTCATTTCCGCTCGCGCGTCATTGAAGGCCTGGAGGTGGTCGTGGCGCCGGACTGGGAGGATGGTGAAGCAGCCTGTAGCTCGAATCTCTTTGCAGGAGATCGGGGTGGAGAAGGAGAGGTCGTCGGCCTTGAGGTCAGTCATGGCAACGTGGTAGGCGGGGGGTTGCTGGTTGAGAAGAGTGTGGTCGAGTGACGTGTATCTGCAGTCCCCGAGACCTGAGGAAGGAGTTTATCAATCAATTAGACATGCCAGTCTGCCGATATCGCTGGCGAAATTTCAATTTGGTTTGTGGGATTGAGCCTTACATTCACCGCCGTCGCTAACGCCAATGTTTGCGTGTCAAATTCGCTCCGGTCATCGCCGACGGACGGTGAACGGCTGACGACTGCCTCTCGATTTATTTGTGGGTTGATACTCAACTTCTCTGCTGGTCAATACCTTCGAAAGAAGAAAGAGAGAGTACTAGTACATCATGGGGGCATCCACTGTAATCTCGTTATTTGAGAAACATCAGTCCTCTATCATTTGGACTACTGTCCTCACTATACTGGGCTACTCCGCCTGGAGCATGCTCTACAACCTCTATTTCCACCCGCTATCCAAGTTCCCAGGCCCCTGGTGGGCCGCCATCTCCCACGGCCATGAATTCTACTTCGACGTGATCCTCTACGGCCGGTTCTTCAAGCAGATCGAGAAGATGCATGAGAAATACGGTACAACACTCCCATAACCTCAGCTCCACTCGAAGCAACAAGACTGACATTGAGCCTTCCATGCCCCATTGTACGCATCAACCCGCGCGAGATCCACATCAACGACCCCGACTTCTACGACTCCATCTACGCCTCCTCGGCGCATATCCGCAACAAAGACCCGGGGCACATCATCTTTGGCTCGGCACCTCGCGCGCTGGTCTCGACAATCTCACACTCGCAACACCGGCTCCGACGCTCGATTCTCTCGCCCTTCTTCTCCAAAGCCTCCATCCTGCGCGTCGAACCGCTGATCCAGGCCAAGGCCGACCGGCTCATCGCCCGGCTCGAGGAAGTCGGCGAAGAGGGCAGGACCGTGGATCTTTACATTGCGCTTACGGCGTTTGCGTCGGACACGGTGAGCGAGTACGCATATGGCGTGGGATACACGAATCTGGAAGCTAGAGACTTCAACGGGTACATGCATGAGACCATCACCCGGCTCATGCATACCGTGCACGTGGCGCGCTTCTTCCCGTTTCTCTTCCCCATCCTGTCCTTGCTCCCGGTAGGGCTCGCGCGGCGACTGAGCCCCGGGCTGGGAAAGATCCTCGAGTACCGGGCCGTCATGGCGCGGTTCGTGGCGCGGGCGCTGCACGAGAAGGGCGGCGAGGGGAAGGAGAGAGCGACGTTGTTCGAGGCGCTCGCGAGCCCCTCGGTGCCGGAGCAGGAGCGGACCGCGGCGCGCATCGAGGACGAGGCGTGGGTTGTTAACCTTGCGGCTTCGGAGACGGTGGCTAGGGCGCTTACCATGCTCGTGTTCTTCGTGGTCAAGAACGAACGTGTATTGCGGACACTGAGGGGGGAGTTGAAGCCCGTGATGCAGATGTCCGAGTGCGGGTCGACTTGGAAACAGCTCGAGGCTCTGCCCTACTTGGTGAGTTGTTGACATATATTGTATAAGCACAGGTGTAGGTATTCTGATGTGATGGATGAATAGACGGCCGTCATCCACGAATCTCTCCGCCTCTCCTTCGGCCCAGCAACGCGCCTCCCGCGCATCAGTCCCGACAAGCCCGTCGTGTACAAGGATTGGGTGATTCCACCGGGTGTGAGTCAAGTTCCTCTCTCCGCCGCTCCCATTCTCCCATCGTCCAGTCCCTGGATCCTGCTCTCTTAATGGCTGTTCATACGTGATAGCATCCTATGAGCTCCAGTGTCTGGTACCTCAACGTGAACCCCACTCTCTACCCCGATCCGCTGGTCTTCCGTCCCGAGCGCTGGCTCGAAGCCGCGGCGCAAGGCGCCAGACTGCCTTTGTTCAATTTCGGTCGTGGGGCGAGGGCTTGCCTAGGGATAAAGTACGTACGCCCCACTTACCTATGATTACAATGCCCTTCCTCTCATTCCCACACCTTCTTATAGCGGCTCCTTGGATTTATGAATTTCATCCTTGAGACGTACACGTCCCCTTTGTTCCACTGACTTCCCTTAGTCTCGCATATGCCGAACTCTACCTCGTCGCCGCATCTTTCATCCACCGTCTCTGCACCCCTCCGTACTGCATCCGGCTCTTGGACAACCCGTCGGTCGAGGATATGATGCCGTATAGGGATCTCGTCATGGGGGCGTCGAAGAAGGGGTTCTTTGGGCTGAAGATTGGAGTTGTGAGGGATGGAGGGGAGGAGAGTGGAGATGAGGAAGTGGGACGAGGCGAGTAAATGGTAGTGGAGGTATGCGTGGTAAGTGTAGTGTGTGGTTGCATCTTTATTTTGCATCCAATGTTAGGGTGTTGTATGAGGAAGGAATGTCTTGATGCATGTTGTCGGTAGTATTCCCACGTAGGGATAGAGTAGATAAATTTACCATCGTCTTGGTCCATTGAACAAAATATACAAACGTCTAATGCATCTCATACATACTGGAACACCATGTTGATTGAGGGCGTCAACGGATGTAGTATGAATGGGTCGTTGTACCGAACTAATTGGGCTGGAGTCCAGGGGTTCGTTGGCCAATCATCTTCAACCTATCCCGGCTTCGACCCGAAGTGTGGTGCCCCACTGCCCCTCGTCCAAAAACTTTTATTCGGAGCTACAAGGGTAGCAAAATACCAGTTCACCACATTCAGCGTGCGGTACATGGCACATGGCACATGGCACATTTCAACACTAGGATATAAGGGCAGGAAAAAATGAGAGCTGTCAATTCAAGAAACGACGGGTTGTGTAGTGTAGTGGTTATCACTCCAGATTCTGAGGACAGACTCTTCTGGCGACCCCGGTTCGACTCCGGGCACGACCTGAATAGAATTCGAATGGCATGTGGTTTTTTCTTTTTGCTCTTGGTGATTTCGATTGAGGTTGCGAAAATATACTCGTGCCAGGGCGCTTTTTTTTGCTCTTTGATTTGCTGGTCGAGTTTTGAGTTATAATGGACGGTCGACCGCCCCCCGGCGCGCATGGACCCCGAGCGCCGAAGGTTGGCGACGCACAGTCATCATGACCATGATGCCACTCAGTGCACGCATACATCGTCATGATATGCGCTTCCAAGAGCATCGTTCTCGCGATGATTGCGGGGAAGATGCTGCTGCTGTTTGACGACAACCATTTCGCTATGTTTCAGAAGGAGATACGGCAAGGATTGGCGAGATGGCGGCCCACGGTCAATGACGTAAACGCCACCGAGCTCAAAGCGGACCCTGCAGACGATCTCGGGCTCCAAGCCGAACAATGTCAATATTGAAAACACCACCCAGGAGCTCCCTCCGAGATTTGTTCGGACGGCATTTGTTCTGCCGCGCCTGGCTGCGGTCAGGAGCGCTGCCCTGCCCAGAAAGGCCGCTAGATGGTCTGGCCCAAGCCTGCTTCTGCCAACTTCCAAGACCTCGCTCGCAACCAGCCTTTCTGCATGGCGTGAAGGCATCTGGCCGGCGGCTCCGTAGCGAGGCCTCTCTAGCCCGTAGCAGACAGGGACAGGAGGCCTTTGGGAGACGACAGTGCTTGGACAGCCACGCCGGAGCTGCCGCAGTCCGTCGCGGGCGCCGAGTGGACTCTCGGGGACGACGCACATGCGTTGGCGGCGTGTCAACACAGAGGAATTGTTTGACTGAGGCCCTTTCAAAGCCGGGACGGCGCCCGTATGTAAATAGGGGCCTTCTTCAAGCTCCCTCCGTCCCTCCCCAACCGCACGAGACCCGCCAGGACCACAGTCACGGGGCATACGGACCTATTGAGCAGACGCAGCATATCGAAGCCCCATTTTGTGCAACCGCCCGACGACAATCTATACGTACGTACCTTGTCCCGAGCCAGGGAGCTGCTGTGAGCCTGCCCAGCGATCTCCAGCGACGGAGTGAAAGGGCGTGAGCGGCATCCTGGGCTAGCCAAAGACACGGTCGACATCGCACGCGCCCACCCCCGCCGACGTAATAGTGCTGCAGACCGGGAGGGAGCTGTGCGAGGGCGCGGCAGGGACGGACGCATATCTGGAGCCCGGGCGGACGCGCTTCAGTCGCGGGGCCAGCAGCACACGAGGCACGATGCCGATGATTGAGGTGAGCAAAGCCACATTCCGCCCCTATACACTGTAGCGTGCGGTGGGCGGCAGCGACGGCGGCGACGTGCGAGGGCTGGTGGTTTGCTGCGATGATGTCGGAAGCGTCATAACCAGCAGCGGGCCCAAGCGCCCTGCGTCATTGAACCGCCTTGTTCTCATCCATGGGCCTCGTCGCTGCGTCTGCACGTCCGCTTTTCTCTGCCTCTTGCAGTCGCACATGCCGCCGCCGCCGTCTCGAGCCTCACCTCCTCCTCCTCCTCCACCGCTCGCCTAGTGTGTGCTCTGTCTGCTGTCTCGTCATCGCACCGGGTCGAGTCTCGCACGCAGCTGCACTCTCTGCATTCCTTTC